TGGAGCTTGGAGTCAGCCCGGGAGCTCCGTGATGGCGGGTTTGCTAAATTGGATCATCGCAAATCGCTTACTCCGTACTTCTCAGTGAATTCACGCTGTTGTCGTGCGCAAAACCCCCGCTCAGTCTATTTGATCACTCCGATGCGGAGATCTTCTGCTCCCCTGCTGCTATTGAAGGGCTCGTTTAATCGAGGCAGGCCGTGAATAATGATTGATCCAGATCTGGAGATCAGATGGCCAGCAATACGAGTTCAAACCGCCACAGTGGCTGTCGCTTGGGTTGCCGATAGCCGGTAGTCCGAGGGAAATGAACGACCATTTCCTCTGCTCTGAGTCAAGACGGTCAGACATGGATCATATACACCGGCTAGCCCGGCGGGCTAACCCCAAGGGAAAAATGTCGTCAGCTTTGACCAGAAATGGTCACTTTTCTTTCGGGCGGAACCGCTGCGTAACCCGGGGATGATCTAACCCTAAATCATTGGGAATGCACTCTATGTAAGCCCGTTTTTGCTTGAGGATTGAAGGAATGAGCTAGTTGTCAATAATAATATTATGCTCTTTTGCCTTCATGAGATGAGTATGAGTAGGGTGAGTATTGATTCGTCACAAATTCACAATACCGATGATCCATGCCGGCCTTCCTTCTAGGCCACGGGTAAAAGATTCGATGAACAGTGGAGAGCTGAAGCCAGCTACTCAGCTATATCACAATGCATGCAATCATTGCAATGAAAACCCGAACCAGGCAAAGTAAGATCCGGACGACACGGATACATAATCCAGAGTTATACGGAGGTACATAAGTTCATAACACGACTCAAGACTTCGACAGGAACTGAAAAGTCGGCCATGGAACAAAGTGGATTCCCAGCCACAGTGGAGGTCATGAAGGGGAGAGGAAGAGGGGGATGGAGGGGGGGGGGGGAAGGAAAAGGAAAAGGGAAAGTGGGAACCTGGTAGGCAAGACCTTGTCCGTCCCGAGGTCTGCTTTTGATTTTTCTCTAAGCGAGCTTAAGGTTCCTCGTGTTGGATTAAGCTTAAGCTTCAGAAAGTCGCGCACTAATCAATTTCCGGTTGGTTTCAAGCGATCAGAGCGCCACTGGTATCTTACTAGTGTATTACAATATCCTGCCCATGTTTTCTGGGTTTTTTTGTTCGGATTACTTAGAATATTCTCAATTTCTCTGAATCATGAGTTCTGACGGCCAAGACAACTCTGTCCCCCCCTCCCCGAGAGGGTAGCCGAGATTTGGTTCCGCTGTCTCTCATCTAGGTAACATATTATTATGTAGCTGCCATAGCATTAAAAATGGCAAGGCAGCAGACCCATGAGCAAGGAGAATAGTGCCAGGTGCTATGGTATCATCACCCTTGGATGCTTATCGATATCAACCTGCTAAGGAATGGACATCCGGTATGTGGGAATCCTACAGCCCTGTAGGCAGGAGTTTGTACTACCCATCACATATGCAACCGGTTACTCTGGGTGTCGGTCGTGGTATACAGTACATGCAGTCCAAATGCTGACGACGACGACGATGATGATGTTAAAACCACCTTGTATGAGTAACTTACCTCTTGCAAGTAGATTGCCTGTCTGAGTTTAGACTCCACCCGTGAATGAGCCCCCTCTTCTTAGGTTCACTGCTTGACTGCTAGTTATATGATTACCTGTACATAGTAGTGTGTGAAAGTATAACTGTACACACTTATACTTATATTCCCGAGAGAGTTTTGGTGCGACTCAGGAGAGGTTAAATTACCTGGAGCTTAGCTGACCCGACAGTCATGCTCCTAGGCATAGCGCGGTGATAAATTGAAGCGAACGAACTCACCCACCAGCCTCGCTCTCCAGTACCATGGATGAACATTAGGCGAAAAAGAAAAGGTTAAAAACAAGGTTCGCTTTGTTTGTGATAAATCCAGCAACTAAATAATATCAGATGAAATCATTTGCTGCGGCCTCCTCTTAATCTGTACCCACTTTTCTTGGTCGTTGAATCTGGCTGGCTGATCTTTCGCATGGCGCCTAGAAAGAAGAGGTCCAAGCCATCATCCTCTGACCCTGGCTGGGGCTGAAATCACGAATGGATAAGGATTACACTAGTTCATAATTCCGAGAGACCATGAGGCAAAAATAGAGAGGCGGATGTAATCAAAGAAGCAGCGAGGAAGATACTCATAAATCAGGAGGGCTGCTGCTGATAACTATCCAAAACAATAACTATTTATGCAAAACCGATTCAACTTCACTTATACATAGTCCGGTCCATGTACTAGATTACTAATGTGTATTCAGCTGTAGCCGATGCTCATGCGAACACGCAATTAAATCCGACCCAGATTTTCGAGTAATATTATTTCCATCTCATTCAATAAACCAAAACACAACTGCTTAACCCTGTGGGGTTCAAAGTTAGGTTGGTTCCCCACCCTATCTTTGATGCTAATTCTTCACTTGAATATTTTTATTTTATTTTCCATTTCTTTTCCCCCCTCGGATTTTATTTATTTTATTTTATTTTAGTTGAACTTGATTACCATTCGGATTATAATAATCATTTTTCCAGTATCTCTCTGCCTATTCTTTTCTTCTCTCCTACCACCATCTACCCTTCCTACAACTCTCTCATCATCTCCGATTCTACCTGTGACTGCAGCAGCAACGCTCAAACCCGCAATTATTCCCACTGTAAGTAATTGAACTGGTGAACCCGTTCGTTGCATTATGTAGCCTCCTTGTCTCAACATCCTTTGTATAACTCTACGCTTGATTCGGTCCGCTTGACTGCATTCCTTCTTTATTCTCCTATCAGTTGTGCCCATCCCCACTCCCTACTTTCTCTTGCCTTCCTTGCTGCCTTGGTTCCATCTGCATTCCATCCCCCTCTACACTATCCCCTCGACCCCCTCATTCCCATTCTATTATACATAGATAGCAAATTAACCTCGTTTCTTCTTACCATTAGATCCTCGTTCACTTTCTGTGGATGCTGTGGCAAGATCAAAGCCGATACCGCCCGGGCTGCATCAGTTTCCTAATCGGGAAATATCCACTACCGTGATTGATTCTCCAACACACACAAGGCACGGAGCAGAAACCAACTCCCCTCTGTCGTCAGAGGGACCAGCATTGTTTAGCCCCGGCTTCCACTCAACTTTCAATATTCTGTACCCTACGAATCACCCAGCCCTGGCGCTCAAACCAACCGTCATCACGGGGACCTACACAGATCACCGAAGGTGGATGGAGACGTATCACGGCCACGTCCGCACCCCAGCGGACGCCATCATCCTCTTCGAAGCTTGTCGCATTGGCCTTCTCCCCCGAGTACAACGACGACTGTCGGAAAAAGAACGTCAGTTAATCCGCTCGGGGTCAGTTTTTGTCTGGGATGAAAGGGAGGCGGGTATGCGAAGATGGACCGATGGCAAATCCTGGAGTGCGAGCCGGGTCTCTGGCAGTTTCCTAACTTATCGCGAAATGGAAGGCAAGCGAGGAGGAACTGGTGTGGCACAAACGACAATGTCAAGAGGGGGCAAGACCCCAGATAGTGCGCGAGGCAGCGACGACGATCGGGGGGACGGCGTGGACGAAGGACCTGATGGCTATCGATATAAACCCGATGGATTGATGAAACAGTCGTTCAGCATCACCACCTCGACCGGACAGCATCTTCATCTCATCAGCTATTACTCAAGATCGCACCCGTCTGCTGCCAATCTCCAGCAACCTTCAACAGATCCGGCCTTGCGACATGTTCGACCCCAGAAGGGACTCTACCCAGAATCTACGGTCAACGATCAGCAGAATCTTCCTGTCGTGACTCGTGGCCCCATGGCCGGTGCAGCCTACGTACCTCCTCATCCGATGGGACCGTATGCTCGCGCCGCTGCTACGCATGCTCCCCCATACACGACGTCGTACACATGGCCACCAACTCCCCTGGCCACGCCGCCTGTTCCGGTTCATCACTATCCCTCATATCTACCTCCAGTTCCGGCCGGTAGTCATGTCGCATATTCTCATCATCATCATCATCATCATCCTGCGTCCTTACCACCTGGTACTCCTCTACCGCCACCTCCGCAGCCCCCCGGTTTGCAAACGCCCCACGAGCGACCAATTCATGCGGTTGAAGTTGCGATGCCTCCGGCCTTGCCCCCTTCGTCTGTACAGATGCTTGCAAGTCGGTCGCCACGCACACCAGTTGAAGCGCACGAGATGCTGCATCGAAGCCCGTCAGAGCTCGCACACCACGCGGATATTCGACGTGCGTCTCCGCGCACGCAACCACATCCTCTATCACACAGCAACGGCCTTGGCCCGGCTGTGCGGAGCCCCCGGCTTTTGAACCAGCCTCCATCCAACGCCATTCATATCCCTCCCCCGAGTGCGGTGGTCTCCAAGCCTCTCGAGCCTAATAGCTCCGGCATTGCTGTACCCAGCATTGGTTCTCTAATGAACGGCGCACCGTCTGGCGGATTACCCTCAATTACCGCTCCTCCAGTTCCGGCAACAGGGCGAGCGGAGGGGCCCAAGGACATCCCTAGCGAAAAGATCGGATTCGGTGGGGAAGATATGCGGGCTCTCAGACAACTCGATCGAGTTTTCACAGCTTAAGCAGCCAATGGTTGAGATATATCTCTCACGATCATTCATCATCTTCGCAAGCTGTTGTCACTTGGTTGTGTTGTCGCTAGCATCAATCTTCTCACGTCTGCCTTATATCCCTTGTTTCTTGTACATGATTTAGCATTTTGCACCCGGTTGAGCTATTCAGATTGAAATGGTCATGCCCCCCCCAGCCCCACGACATTGTTTCTATTCTCCATTCGGTCTGGTTTATGGTGTTGTTTTCGGTCTTATTTGCACAGAATCGGCGTTGTACAAAGAGGTGCATTACTATACAGTATGGGCGGGATTTATTATATGTCACGGGTGACTTCTTTTCAATCCTGCGTTGAGGTCGAGAATTGCAATGGGATCGGTCAGTCCGGTGACTAGTCACGATGATAACGTTGAATTTATAAGAAACATCTCAAATTCATCTTTGCAAACTCCTGCACCTGACACCCACTGTTCCTGGAGTCATTGTAGTCATTGTAGCACTGCCGCCATTGTTGTCTAAGTGGTCAACCCCACTTGCTAATAATTGGCACAAAACCTGCTGTCTCACCTGGCTCAGCAGACAACTATAGCCCAGGTTCATCTGCACGCCGACTGGGTCCATGCACAACCAGCTTCCAGGTTTGCGCCTGGCCTCATTCAAAACCATAAGCTAATCAAAAGATATATTTCAATATCGAGTGACCTCAATCTTTTCGGCGGTAAGTCCGGGCCTTTTCATTCACGTTGAAACAGGTGCCAACTTACGCCCACTTTCGCCCGATTTCTGCTTCTCAGAATGTAGGTATGTATCAGGATTGAGGATATATGTTTTGAGATGACCCTGATCAATTTGCCCCGGTGGAGCCAGACCAGATAGGAAGGATACTTGGCTGACTCGGGACCTGAGGATGTACATACCTAGTAGTCCTTGAGGTGGATGGCGGGCACATGACTGGATCCCCAATCCAGGCCTCCTCATTTTACGAGTGGTGAAACAAATCTGCCTAGTCTAGTTCTTCCATTCTTTAATCATTCCACGACAATTCCTCTACTAAGTTACCCAGCTGAAATCTGCAACACCACGTCCCCCCGCTTGCTTGTCTTCAGGCTAGTCGTCCCTGAAGATCGCTGAAACGCCCGCCCAGCGCTGACCCACTCGAGCCAATGGCCGCGGAAGGGTTTATTTACAGAGGTTACAGAGGCGGGAGAGACCCGCAATGGATTTGCTGCCAGCTCGGAATATGTTGGTGTGCTGTATGTGGCTGAGCCGCAGAGCCGCGGGCATCGAAACGGTTTGCTGGGATCAATCTCGACCCAGTGTACGGGCAGGTGAGGTTCGCAGAGGGAAACTGTCTTCCGGGTTTCAGAGCAGGTATTTTAGTTAATTGCCGCAGTCACTCTACTCTATCAATCAACATTCCCCGAAGAAGAATAGGTGGTCATCCACAGGCAACGCTCGGTTGACTGCGACGCTGTTGACGAGGCGACTGAGTCGAGGCGCAGCTGGAGCAGACTGCGGGTCGTGGACTGTGAGCTTTCTCCCTGCGTTCACGGGCTATATGCGTTGAATGTCCAAGCCGTGGTACACAGTTTGGAGAAGGGGTCGGGGGCTGAGATGGTCATGCTCTTGACTTTGGTGCAGTCACACGTGGGCGGGGAGGCGAGTCGCGGAGGAGTCATGTTGTCTCTGCCCGCTATCTGCACCTCTGTCAGTCAGTCATCCCAGAAGGGGCGGATATATCACCGGCATCTGCAGCCCTGACTGACTTGGATCAGAGCGTCAACGGCCGGGCAGTTCGTGAAAGCCTGGAAAATTGACTCGATCTTTGCGGATCAGTAACCACACCTCCTGCATGGTCCAAGTGAGACTCGTGTGGAAGGCTTGTGATCGGACACTACGGCATATAACTGATTACATGCCACCTCTTTTGGAAATGGGCGTATTGCGCGTGGAATTGAATTGCAGCAATCACATTGTCGACTTCATTTTATGGCTGTCACCGAACGGTGGTAGGATCACCTACCGCTACCCCCTTCAAATGCGGTCGTGGCGCCGGCAGAACTCAGCTCTTTACCATATTATGTCTGGTAGTCAGTCACACATAGTGAGAGTTAATCACTGGGTTACTGAATGATTCATCCGTGTTGGACAATTATCTTGTGCGGTCAGCCAAAAACTATGTACACTGGTCGACACTATCTAATCACTCATCTCAAATGTGCTGATGACTCTATAGATTATGGTTGCTCTCCTTGCTTTGCCGAACTGGTCCGATTTACCAGTTAGCTACCAGCAAACTTCGAAACTTCAAAACTCGAGATTTCTTCTGTCTCTGGCTGCAGCTTTGAGGCTCGGTATAGAAGGCCCTAACGAGCCCATTGGTCTGCCTCACGTTGACAAAGTGCGATCCGGAATGACCTCCGAAGCGGCCAGGCTTATATCCACCAGCTTTAACAACGACAGATGCTGCAGGCGCAACAGGGCGATATTGCGCCTCTCCTCCTCAGTTAAGGAGCCAGGATCACGACGCGCCACAAGCTCTTCGAAAGATACCGCGAACTCGCTCAGTTGAGCTAGCATGATGTCCTGCTGTGCTGTCGCCCGCTGCACCACGGCTGGTTCCTTTGTGTTGTCGTGCAAAACAGTTTCGCAGGACCCTCGTAAGTGTGATACCTTGCTCATGAGGATGTTGATTCGCTGTCTAGCTTCTAAGAGGCTTACAAATGCGTTGCTACCAAGGCTGCTGGACCCAGTCAGGGAAGTATCCTGGTCTGTTGATTGCTCATGCATCAGGCTGCCATGACTGTTGGTCACAGACGGGTAAGCATTCTGGCCTGTCGATTGCTCAAGCGTCAGGGCATCTGATTGTTCGTATTGTGCTATTTGCACATCGAGCACCATGAAGGCTTGGACCAGGGCAGCCTCGGTCGCAGACCCGTAGCGAAGCTGTGCGGTAGGGAGCGAGCCTTGTCTCGGATGATGCCTCCAGTACCCATCACGCTGCTCCACGAGTTGCACTCCCCTCCGCAGATGCACGCCCGCGCTCTTGTAGCTGCCATGAAGCAGCTCGACGCAGATGAAAGTGATACAGCATATCAAGGCCACCAGCCGGACCTGAGGATCATTCGACGCCAAGCGTCGCCGGAGCATGACCATCGCTTTGCCATACTGCTCGAACGCAAAGCGATGATGCGGATCATGCATACCCTGCTTGCCGGCGCGGCAAAGGCCGCGCATCTCGACATCCTCGTGAAGCGCGCTCAGAGCCACGGCGGCGTGGTAGGCGGCCGGCTCCGCATGGCTGATCTGCAGGACTATCCGCTGCCATACTTCCAAATTGAACCAGTCAGCCATCCTGGGCGCCGTTTGATGGAAGAAAATGCTAAAGCATCGTTGTTCGTCGGTGCTGGTATCCGGTCGGGTAGTGGGGGCGATCTGTACAACGGAATGTGGCCAGATGGTCCTTGCAATTGCTCCGGAGATGCGTGGCAACCGGCTAGCATCGTACTCGCAGTGGCGTCCGGTGGAGGTGCATTGATTGCACGCACCCGGTGTCTCATCACATTTGACATGTCTGGCTCTGCAGATCGGGATGGCTGTGGATCAGTAAAAGCGAGCCGGGGGCGCAGTTTGGTTCCAGTTTGAGGGGTGGTTACAGACCGACAAGTTCGACATCCGTTTCGGGACCTGTGACGAACTTGTCTCTGCCTCTGTCTCTTTGGCTCTGCCATTGAGGAAGGGATTGTAAGGCTGGCTTTGAGGGAAAACTTGACGAACGAAAGTTGAGATGGCGCATTTGGTCACTAACTTAGTAGTAGTACGTAGCCTCAGCTGTAGGAGGGGGGGCGGGGAGAGAGGGAAGGGACGCGGCCCGCTTCCGAGTGGGCGCCGCCGCCTCCGCCTTGACCTGTCCACCTCACCGGGGAAACATCTTCAACGTTTGATTGTGGACTACGATTGGCAATGATGTTGGGAACTCCAAGAGATAGCGGTGCTAATGCCTTGACTTTGTGCTAGGGGCTTTTTTTCAATACGCAATACAATACAAGAGTCCGTGGCTGACTGTAGCCTTCTGTCTGCTAGAAGATTTCTGGCGTATGCCGGTCATTTGGAGTCGACAGGCAGCAGGCTCTACCAGAAATAACGCTTAGCACATGGTGACCACGCTGTACTCTCAATGCCTAGACAAGATGCGCCGGATTATGGGCCTTCCCTCTTGTCCAAAGGCTTTACCTTGAGGCCCTCACTGACACATGGTATTTCGACTCCCATTGGATTGACTTTCAGACTGTCCAGCGTGTATGACAATCAAATGGAGGTTCGTAACATCAAAGGAATGATATATAGCTTTCCAGGTAGTCAGAACGGTTTTCCTTTCTGGTAAGTCCGATATTGTATATAGTCCCGTGGCCCCTCTGGTACTGAATGTCTTCAAGCAGATGTTTCTCAGAACATGGCTTGGATTCCTCTGGCGTGTCAGTAACCGTGCTTGCCCCATATCTCAATGACTTCCCTAAGAAGAAGAAGAAGAAGAAGAAACTGGGTACATGGGCTCATCTAATCTGCAACTAGAGAGAATGAATATCTACCTCAATGACGCGAGAGGCAGAAAATACATTCCCCGCGATCCTTCTCGACTTAAAGCCAGGGACGATGTATGCGATCAGATACGGTCCTGGTGGTCCTTTACTTAGACCCGACAACTTCGTTTTTAGGCAATGTGGAACGAGCAACAATTGGGCCAAGGGCACTATGCTGAAGGGGCCGACTTGGTAGATCAAGTGACTGATGCTATTCGGAAAGAAGCAGAGATATGCGATTGCAATCAAGGTTTCCAGATTGCCAATTTGCTAGATGGCGGGACGAGGCCCGGTATGGGCACGCTTTTGATTTCAAGAATCAAAGAAGAGTTCCTCGATCGAATGATGACCGCATTCTAGATAATGCCCTCTGCTAAAGCTCCGATGCCGTCGCTGGACCTTGCAATGCCATGCTCTTCACGAAACACTGGATTCATGAAGCGGATGAGACTTTCTGCTTCGACAATGGTGTGCGATAGACAATTTCTTCGCTATTGCTGCATCAATATACTTGAATGCGCACTTTAAGAGTCGGTTACCCCACGCACCGTGCCTTCCATTACTTTGTCTCAGCAGTCATATCTGGAGTCTCGGTGTGCCTTCACTTTCCAAGCGAGCTAAACCCGGATATGTGCAAGCTCTTAAGATGGTCCCGTTTGCCCATTTGAGCATCTTGATGGCGGGCTTTGCACCACTCACCAGCCACATGTGCACTCATTCCGCTCAGTCACAGTCTCGGGTCTTACGCAGCAGATTTTTGATTCAAGCAACATGATGGCCTCTTGCGATCTCAACCGGGGCTGATTTTTTGACATGTTTTGCTTGATTGCAAGGGCCTGGGATTATCAAATATAGAAACCAGACCAAACACTGAGCTCTCTAGCCAGTCGGGGACGGATCTCCATGCGAGAGATCGAGGATCAGATGAAGCACATCCAAAGCAGCAACCATAGAGCTCGAATTTTTCCTAAGCAACGTGCAGACAGCCTTCTGCTCCGTCTCGCCGCAGAGTCTCCGGGTGTCAGCGACTTTGCATGGCAACTCTACGGTACTCCAGGAGATACTCAACCGAGTGGGCCATGCCTTTGCTCGACTTTTCCGCGTCAAGGCGGTTTAACATTGGTACCTCGGGGAGGGAATGGAGGATCTGAAGTTCGTCAAGGCCGCAAGCAATCTGCATGACTTGATCGCGGAGTATCGACAGTATCGATATGCCTCTGCTGAGGCTAGTTACTCTGATGGGGCTCGCCCCGACAATGAGGAACTACAGCACCTCAAAAACAAGCGAAAAAATATTGAGTGGTTGTCTGCTGAGTTCAAGGCCTAGCTGTGGTACTTCAAGTCAAAGCATTCTGACCAGAACTAGAAAGTCAGCTTTCCGTGACGTCGTCTCACAATGCCTCAAATCATTGGAAACCATTCCAAGACGAGGATTATTCCGATCATCTACGAATGACTCCAAAACACCATCTCCTCCTCAATCCACTGCAACATCAACCAGATGTTGTATACCACTCACTAACCACCATATGAATCCCCCAAACCAACTCACGTGACCGAACCCAGTCTCTCCCCTCTGCCCCTCCCCTCCGCCTCCCCCTCCTCCCGCGTATCCCGTCGTCCTTAAAAGTACAATCAACTAGCGCCCACCACCACCACCACCACTCCTCCTGTGCGTCCATCAAAATAGGGTAAAGCGGGCGGGTTCAAGGCCTTCTAACCTACTGTACGATAACGGAAAAAGAGGGTAAGTGTAGATTAGTGCAGAGCTTCTTTCCCCAATCCATCTGCATGATTGACCGAAAAGGGGGCGGGGGGTTACTTAGTACTACCGAGTACTTAGTGGTGAGCGTAGCTCGCCGCGGGTTGTATGCATCGCGGCGCAACGCACGTACGCCCGCAAAACGCACGCGAAGTCTTTTTTTTTTTTTTTTGGTGGTCTACTAGAAAGTCGAACCTACCGCCCCCCCAGAAACCAAAAGAGGAATAGACCAACAACCCCAAGGGAAAAGCAAAAGGAACGATTTTCTTTTTGACTAAGCAGGCAGGCAGGCAGGGTAATAAGTAAGGTTGAGTCGGGTTGTGGGTTGTGGGTGGATGGGAATGTACGTATACCCGATCTTCAGTACTAACTAGTCTACTCTGGGGAATGTGTTAGAAGGTTGGTGATGGGATCGAGATTCTTGGCTTGGACGCTTGGAATGAGAGAGAGAGAGGTCTGGAGCGGGTGGGTGGGCCGTCTGGAACCTTTCTTCTCTTTGTGAGTGAGTATACGTGGGTATGAAGATTTTTACATAATTGGTGTGACGGGTGAGAATTGGGTTGTTGATAGAGCAATAGAGATGAGGGAGGGGTAGGGGAGGGGCTAAGTTGAGATAGAGAGAGAGAGAGAGAGATAAAGGTGTTTTACCAGGTGGTTGATGGGATGGGGAGGATGGTGTCGGGGTAAGAGGGGAGAGGGAGAGGGCTGTTTGACCAGTCAAGTTCTGGGAGTAGTCGGGTGCATCGCGGGTGTTCCAGTTGCATGCTGTGCTTGAGGATTCATATTTGAGGAATGGGGTTGCTGATTCGATGACACTATACTCCGTACGCAGTAAAACTCTCGCTGCCATGGGTGGACTAATGCTGGTCTTGGTCTGGTTATGGCTCTGAGCTACTAGGTCCGGGGCATGGTTGACTTATAGTTAGGAGATCAACATCTGAGAAGTACTGATTTTACTCCAATGTAAGCGCACTACCACTCACTCAGTGACGGATTCACCCCCACTTAGCACACCCGTGATGGTCTATTATGTTTCGAATATATATAACTTGAAGGTCACTGCGAAGTGAATGACGAGATGCTTCCCGTAGATGTACATTGTTACTGTACGGTTGCAGTAAGCAAGTGTAGAACCTCAAGATCCCGTCATATCCGGTAATACCCGAATCTCAGGGCACCATGCCATGTGACTTGGGTTGGATCTGACCCAAAGTCCAGGCCAGTCCAGTCCAGCCCAACCGTTCTTGTTGGTGAAAGCAGAGAGAAAAGAGTCAGTCAGAATCGAATCGAATCAGTGGAGGGGCAAGCAAACAGGAAGCTGGAGAGAAGAGGCAGCGGAACCGGGGGAGGAAGCCGAATGCCTACAAGCTACCTTAACTTTCTACCCAACCTGTGGTGAGTTAAGTTTAGTCAAGCTAGCTGAGTTAGTTTCACGTACTCCGTACGTACTCGGTATACAGATGATTCTCTTCATCTCTCCACTTCTGATTTCCCAATTAGTCGGCAGGCAGATTGATGGGGCGCCCGCCCGGACGAAGTGCTTCATCCCGAGCCGTTTCGAATCAACCGTGGCCGACAGACAGGAAAAGATGGGAGGAGGCCCAAGCACTCGGAGACAAAGCCATCCAATTGCACACAATCCTATTCTGTTCGTTCGCCTCTCCTAACCCCCCCCCCCTTCCTCTTCCCCCCCGCCATAACTTACTTACATGGAGTCATGGACTGTGTGCACGGTTGTTGACTAATGGTCATTCTGTCCATTGGCTGACTTGGAAATGCTAACTCCAGTGGCTGTGTATGTCGCCTTGAACTCATTGTTGGTCCTTTCGGTCCTTTTGTGAGAAGAGGCGAGAAGGTAAAGACAGGGTCATGTAGGTACACGACCTAGCTGCTTCATACATGACAGTGGTTAGCTGGAGCTCAGGCGCCGTGCTAATTACGGAGTAGCTTGGTGGCTGATCATCTCTCTGCTCTGCTCAATCCATATCATCGGACTTCAATTGCTCAATTCTCTTTCCCATGAATCGGTGGAATCGGATTCGATCGGTCCCCTCGGTCGCATCTGATCATGTACCTACAGTAGTAGGATGGAGGGCAGGGGAGAGGTGGGTAAGGTAAAGCCAGTCAATGAATGAAGTCGGACATGATCAATGCTGGCTTGATGCTTTGCAGTACGGTACCCCGAATGTCCGTGCTGGGAGCACAGAGGGAAGATCTGGCCCACTTTTCCCCAGATTGTCCGGGTATGTACTCGTAATGAGGGTTTTGAATGATTCTCGCTGCTTCTTGCTTTTCCGTCCATTCATTCCCCTCCCCTTGCTGGAGACTCCGGACTCAATCCAGATGCGCCATGGGGGAGAGGGATTTCCCCCGATCCGATCCCCCGACGTCATCCTCCTTCGCCTCGTCGGGGACCGTCAATCTAAAGTTCGTGGTCAGACTGATCAGAGGCAAGTGGCCGGTGGGATCACTGCCCGAGCATCTGGCCCTCTCTCCGCACTTGCTGCGACACAAAGAAAGACCAGTAGCGTGGGGTGGTGTGGCGTCCAGCTGAGCCTGAGCCGTGTCATCCCGGCATGCACGTAATACACCACTACATAAGACCCCGACTGGGGAGACTACCGACTTCAAACAAGAAAACACACTTCCATGCTTCCCGTATCTGGCAGTCATGCTGCTGCTGCTGTTGCTGCTGCTGCTGCTGTACTCATCCTAGATGGTGTGGGGAAACGCCTCATCGACCATACGGCCTGCTTCGACGTGTCCGGTTTTCTGGGGAGCATATACGGTAGACTCGATGTTGCCTGAGACAGATCCCACGACCAGATAGATCTCAACTGGGGATTGAAGCAGATTATCGAAAGTCGGAGGTCCCCTGCTGCAGCAAGGAATTTAACTTTCTGCTTGTGTAAGCTAAGTGGGCTGCAGGCAAGATATCTATACGAGTCCCCATCAGAAGTGCCTGTATCATGCCCGGCCCTTATCCCCGCCTCATGATCAGTGATCTGAATGTGCGCCGCAGGCAATGGAACCCACTTATTGCGCATCCTTCTCCGACAGATCCTGATTTGTCTGAGGGAGTGAGAAAATGTCATCAGGAGACGATGGCCTCGGGGGGAAAAAAGTCCCAGTATTGCTGTTTTGTAGTGGAAAGCGATGGGAGAGACGGGGTGTGTCTGTGTGTCCTGGGAGAGAGACTGGTGAAGGGTCTGTACCACGTTGATCTTCGGTGCATTTCTCTTTTGGTCCAAGCCATATGAGGGTCTTGGAGCCGACCGAGAGCCTCAACGGGGTCAGACCATTTGCCTCCTGTCAGTGCTCAATGGAGAGACTAAGCTTAGGTGTACGGATGCAATCCGTCGATCAGCTTCTAGCACAATTTTGTGCTTGGTGCTCAAGTTTCAGAGGGAGAGTGCAAAAGAAGAAGAGTAAAACAAAAAAAGGAAAAGAAAAGAACCAGAATTTTGACTGCCGAGAAGAGGAAGGCGAGGCAGTAAAACCCCTGACGACGCATCATCATCGCGAGGAATTGCATTTCGGACCGGGGGGGGGGGTTCCTCTGGGAACTCATCCATACACATTCATATACCACACGTACATACACACGCACACACGCATACACGCACACCAGCCATACTCGCACGCACGCACGCACACACAAACCCCGGCCGGTCATCAGCCGGATAGTGAGGTTCCCTGCCCAAATAGGGAGAAGCAACGAGGATCATCCGCGGTGGTGGTCAACAGAACTTGATGCATGGGGACTCTGATTGGCGCACATTGCTTTTTTTCCATTTGTTTTGGGAGCATCCACCGATTTCAAGTTCCGATGTGTGTGCGTATGTAAGTGTGTATGCAAGTAGGGGTAGTGGGACGGACGGAAGGTACAGGTACAGGCACAGGCACACAGGTACTGAGACAGGTCCAGAAACCGAGTACAGTAATAGTGAGGATAAACTGGAGGATAGTGGGGGTGTGAGGGTGAGGATGAGGGTGGTGGGGAGGAGAGAGGGAAGAACTGGAAGGGCAAGAGAAGGAGAGAGAGAACCTAGGTAGTTGTTCATCGGAGTACTGTGTACTGAGTACGAGTATACGCTGTGCTGTACTTATTGATGAGTGTACTGTATTTACTTGCTGTACCGTAGTGTAGTGTAGTTAGGCTAGTCTAGTTCGTGGGCAAAATGATCCTAGTGAAGTTTCTCTGTCGCTTTTCTCCGTTGCGCCATGACCCAATAAGGGTCTGTCTGTACAACAACCGGCTTGGCAGCCCAACTCTTGAAAGGTTAGAAACTCTTCCTCCAGGCCCGGGCTCTCTCTCCCAGGGCTGATTCTTCGATTCGTTTTTCTCTCCCCGCAGCTGGAGTTTCCCTTCCTGGGATTGAATATCTACCGATCTACGGAGTATACTATGAAAGATGGAAATACGCCTTCAGACACATCGCAAGGCAATAAACAATGTACCTCGTTCATCCCAATTTCCAGTGAGCTCGGGGCTCTTGTGATGGATTCGATTCTACCAAAACCGGAATTATCAATCAGAAAGTTTGCCCACTTGGGATCCATCCGAATCTCGGTTCATGCTTGCGGACAATGAATGCTGAAGTCTGACTGGTTGAGCGAGTCAGTGACTCGCTCAGTCAGCTCTAGGCTGTCAATTAATCTGTTAGTTAGTTGGGATGAGACCGTTTGTAACTGCTTGAGTATCTGTGTCAGTGTCAGTGTCAGTGTCAGTGTCAGTGTCAGTGTCAGTGTCTTTGTCTGTTTGAATCAACCCTCAGAATAGCGCAGTGATTAACTTATTCAGCACCTAGTAGGTAGTTATTAACTAGTTAACTAATTACTAGGTAAGTTCTACTCAGTTAGGGTATCATGGCCCCCCGACTTGCCCATTTGGGATTGGCTTCTGTTGAACCTGGTCAGGGTCGGAGTCTGTTATCCTATCCTGTTCTCCATTCTTACAATACGGTTTGTGTCGATTCCTCCATTATTCCCTCATCTCATTCAAATGGACAGCGTCTGTTGGCACCGTGGTGTATCCTTAATAAGCTGGGGGTTGTTAGTTATCGCTTTCTCTTTGATCGACGAGATCTCCAGCCTCGTTTGTTGTGGTTCTATAAGCAGACAGGCAGACTCGCACACTTTCCCACTCTCTTTACTCTTGACACTGACATTGACACTTACACTGACACTTTCCCCTCTTTCCCCCTTCTTCTCACTCTAAGCTTGGGGGAGTTAGTCTAATTGACCATTGACTTACTATTACTTCTCTCTGACCAAGGACTGTCCGCCACTAACACACACTAACTACACGACACTACGGGTACTCCAACTCCCAACTCCCAACTAAACTACACTACACTACACTACACTACACTACTCTAACTTACTCTACACTACACCCACTACGCCCACTACGCACACACCACACACACAGACACAGACACACCCACCCACCTCCATCCACCTCCATCCACCCACTGAACTTGCTCAAGTCTGTGACGCACTAACTTCAATCCAGCTGCTTGTACTTTCTTCCCTTTCCTTGCCTCCCCACCCAGTGTGTTGATTCCATCTTCCGCGCAACCAGTCAATCTCAGCCAAGTCTTGTTGTTCCTCCCCACTTTCCTTCCATCCATTGTCTGTGTCTGTTCGATCTTCCCCTCCTCTTTGAATTCATCTATTCGTTATTTTATTATTATTTTATTATTATTATTATTATTATTATCATTATTTTCATTATTTTCATTATTTTCATTATTCTAAATTCCTATTAGCACTGTCATTCTACCACTACTACTATTACTACCGCTACCACAACTACCACTACTAATAATACCAACTACACCTACTAATCAGCTTAACCACCACCAATACCACCACCAATACCACCCTCCACCCTCCCACACAGTTCTACCTACCCTGCTGCTCTTTTCTTAAAGACCCCTCCTCGCTCGTCACAGATCAACCCCGGCCTGCCGCCCTCCTCCTCCTCCTCCTCCTCCTCCTCCTCTTCTTCTGTTCGCTCGTTCTCCTTGCGTCTCACATCGCCGGCTTGCTTACTCTACACTCTATACTCAATACACTTTTTTCAGTTCGATCTATATATACACTCCAGCACTTGCGTACCATCTCTACGCACCTCCCGCTTAGAGAGGTGGCGGCGTCTGGTGCAATGTTGTCCTTGCAGAAAGCGTCCATTTTCGCCCTCCCTTCTTCCTCCCCGTCTAATGCTGCTTCATCCTCCTCATCCTCCTCGTCCTCTTCTTCCTCTGACAGCAATAATCTTTCTCATGCTTTCTCGTCAGCACATCCGACCGCTGTTCGTCGCGACTCCGCCCGCTCGGTGGTTTTTCACGACATCCCCACCTTTGTCGACTGCCCTTTAGTCGATGACTCCTCACTTTCTCATCGCACCAGTATCAGCACCACGGACGATCTTTCCAATGACTCGCCGATTTCCTGGGATGGGGAGAACCCGTCCGACACTTCGCCTACCGCGCCCACCGCCGAACTGGACTTTAAACTCCACGATGGGTCACACCACCACCACCACCACCACCCGTTTGCTGCGACCGCAATACCCTCCGCGAAGACCTTCCGACTCAACATTTTCGCCACCCACTATGCCGACCCGACCATGACCGATGTAACGCCCAAAATCGAGGAATTGGACGACGTGGACGACCTGCAAAGTATTAAACCTGTGGGGGTGGAGACGACGACAAATGCGATAGCCAATGCGAGCTCGAGTCATTCGGATTCCACGGCTGTTCCCGTGAACGTCCCACGGAAACGTGGACGACCGCGCAAACATCCGCTGCCAGCGCCCGGGGGTCAGGTCAAGATCACCAAAGGGAGATCCAAAACCGGCTGTATTACTTGTCGTCGTCGAAAGAAAAAGTGTGATGAGACCAAACCAGCGTAAGCCTTCTCTCATACAATGTGGAGCCGGTCGCAATGATGAATTCTGACTTCCGCCGCAGTTGTCTTAACTGCCAGAAGAATGCCGTCGTGTGCGAAGGCTACCCTCCGAAAGAGATCTGGAAGAGTGGCAAGCAAAAACTCGAGGATGGTAAGGATCATCGATCTCTTTTGTTCCGACCTTTAAGTTTCTACCCCTTGATTTATCGGACCCATATACGACATCTCAGACTTCCATTCTGACTCCGTTCGCTTGACAGCGGCTCGCACCCATTCCATGGTCTCTCGCAGCCTCCCGTTGCTAATCGATGGTATCGAGACTGAGATCGATCGTCGATTTCTGGACCACTTCGTCTACGGATTTAGTCGGGTTTTGACCTTGATCAACGATGATTCCAATCCTTTTAAGGAGATCCTCTTGCCTATGGCCACCCAGCATCGAGGGTTAATGCACTCCCTCATGTGCTTGTCAGGCTCACATCTCTCGGCCCTCGATCCGGAACCAAAGCTGAAGGAGCGTAAATATTACCATTTCCATCGTGCCATTCGCGATCTCAAGGATAATATCAACGCCTCCTCCGGCGGGTCGGTGGAACCCGAGCTTTTGGTGGAGGATCCCATAATTGCCTCCACTATCGCCCTCAGCTTGAATACAATTTGTGAAGGCGAAACTAACGGCGAGTACCGTCCACATATGGACGCCGCACGGTACCTCTTAACCACACAGCAGCCACGGAATGAGAAATTCCGTCAGTTTATTGTGGAGTTCTTCCAGTATCACGATGTGTCCAACTCAATCACCTCCCTGGACCGCCGCCCCGCTCACTTGCAGGGTGACTTACGCCTTCCCGATTTTGTTCCCCATGCCCAAGCGGGGATGTTCCTGGGTGTCTTTGATGGATTGTTCAACTACATATCCGAAGTAACTCGATTACGAGATCGCATCCGTCAGCGGTTCGACGAGGGTTATGAGCCTGCAGTGGATTATCAGATTTTGGGAGACGCTGTCTCGATAGACTCGGCTATCCGAACCTGGGAGACGTCATATGCCGCCAACACCCCAAATTACTACCTTGCACAGCTTTACCGGCAGTCAACCTGGGTATATCTCTACCGCACCATTCGGCCATCCCGACCGAGCGAAAAGATTGCCCAGGTGGTAGATGATGGCCTGGCATATTTGGATCAGATCCCCCAAGATGCGGGAGCATTATGCATTGTGCTGATGCCCCTGTTTCTGCTGGGTTGCTCGGCATTCTTGCCACGCCAACGCGAGCGAATTAAAAAGGGGTTCGAATCCCTCAAAGCTTACTCCAACCTGCGTAACATTGAGCCTGCCTTCAAGGTCGTGGAGCGGGTCTGGGAAGTCATGGATAACAACTCGGAAGAGAGCTGGGACTGGGAGAAGATCATCAAAGACATGAAGATGGATTTTCTCATCACTTAAGCAAAATTTCGTCGGACCTCCTTGCATTCGTTGGCTGACCTGGTCGAGCACATCAGTCGCTTGCAGATCAGCAACGCATGTGTGTACTTCTTCCCTTTGAACCCTGATTTTTTCATTTCTTTTCACATATTACGATTTCGGCTGGCGAACAGCACAGCTGGTTGGTTGGGACGGAAATGCCCTCAAAATGAACAGCTGCAAGGGCAGGCACAGGATTTGGATCGGCGTCGGGCCAACGGGGGACATATTTAATTTCACATATACCATTCTACCTCTTTGAGATCTTATCTGGTTCATTTGTGGAACTAGAGCAGTGAGACCACGGGTAGATGTACTTTTACCTTCTTGACGGAGTTTCGGGACTTTCTCATTTTCCCATTATTGAATACTGATGAATTGTCATGATACGCCATGTGGTGCTATATGAGCCATGCATAAGGGGGTCTGTGAATTGTACAGTTATGATCTCCTTTTCTTCTTTTGATGATAGTCTTTTTTCCTTTTTTCCTATTTTCTCCCCCTATTTTTTTCTCCATCAGATTAGCATATCTATATCGTCCGAAATATGCATACTGTAAAGCATGCGTAGCGTGCCATTGCATCGGTGGCGCACTCAAGCCCAACTCAGCAATCGCGAAGCTAGGAATACCAGTACTGTACTGTACCTACCTACCTCCGAGCCATCCACGCCCCTTCCCCCCTTTCTTTGCATGATGATGCAATTCATTTAAGCAATCAATCGGCATCTGAGATTAGGTTTGACAGATCTCTTCGATCCTGTCGGCGTACTGCACTGTACTGCACCTGCCGGCCGGGCTGTCTCCTTGACGAGCGTCATCTTACCCCGTCCTCATCTCCTTCGTATGTCTCTCTGCCTTATATCTAAGACCTTTTCCGGGCTGCATATCGATGTCACTGTTCGGTGTATCTATGACTGCATACGGTTCAGGTGCTGAATGTATCCGTTGATCAGCTTCCAACAATCAGCGGTTCCAAATACTTGATATGTAGCCCGGAAATCGTTCACTTTCTTCTCATCAATACCACTTCACTTCTCTTGCCGGTCTTCCGATCCCATATGCGAATCCTCTCTTAGTCATCACATCCAAGCGTCGAGTACCCTGTCTTTGCCTTATTGTTCCAGAATTTGTTTGGCTGAGACAGGATGGAATGATCACTTCTTTCCTTCCCTTTCTCTCTCTCTCTCTCTCTCTCTCTCTCTCTCTCTCTCTCTCCGATACTGAACCTTTCTGTAGGTGTTATATCCTCCAGAAAGTGGGCATCTTATGGTAAACTAGATATCATTCGAGTCCGTCCCCGGAAACGTCCCGTAATCCTCCTCCGTGGCCACAGGCTCGAACTGTTCGTTTATCCGTGGGCCGGTGTATCGTCTAAATCACCCCGAATGGTTAACCATGACATTGTTGATCCGCATGGAGCCAGTCAAGATGGCTCTTCGGGGTAGGATACTTGGGGGGAAACGGAAAGCACTTACCCCCTTGCAGCAGCCCACCACCAAACCAGGGCAAATGCCGCGATGAATATCCCAACAAATATCCCGTAGTTCCTGGTTTACACGATGGATCGTATGAGCTTTTGGATGTAGTTGACTGGCTTTTTGTGGGGCTTTCTTGATGGAAAGGGGGGGTTTTTTGGGAGGTGTGCTTACATATTCGCGACTGTCACCGGTACATGGGGTGGGAAGAATAGCACCGTACTGATGAACGTCACCCAGACGATCGAGATCCAGTTGATGTAGGGGCCCCATTGGCCGAGAGTGAAGGGCCCCTGCACGAATTTGACCCGGTGGCGGTAGATCTGGTGGGCGAGGATCACGGAGACATAGGAGAGGTCGAGGGCCGGGGCGGTGATGCTGAAGATGGCGGTGGCGGTTTGCGTCGACCCGATGGCGATGCAGGTCATGCTGATGCTGAAGAGGACAACGAACCAAACGGCGT